ATTCAAATTATCAAAATAATAAGTTAGAATTTAAAAAACGATGTTTATCCACGTGTGATAAATTAGTGTCTTCTGTTAAGCGCAATCGTGCTATGAGTGCTAATTCCGTGCATTGTGCTAGAAAAAGGAAAAAATTATCTCCGGAAGAAAAGTTATTGCAAGATAATAAAGAATATTTTAAAATGGAAGTTTTAACAACTAAATTGAGATCAACGGGTTCGTTATTAAATTTAAATCAGAATAGAGGAAGTGATGTAAATTTAGTAAGGAAGGATTCGAGTCCTGTAAATGGACTGGATAAAAAATATATTTTCAAGAAAATTACCAATCGGAGAAGTAAAAAAAGAAGAAAGAGGATTAAAACAAAAAATAATCACTTGAACAAATTTAATGGCTCTAATGTGTTAGATCAAAGGAAAAAAAATAATGAAATTAAAATAAACGGAGTATTAAAGAGGAAAAAAAGGCAATCGGAGTTAATAAAACTTTGTAATGAGGCTGAAAGCTTTATGTTTGGTGAAAGTAGTAAACAATGTTGCGTAACGAATAAAGTAACGGAAAAGCTTCCAGAAGAACATTCAGAAAAAAATGATGATACTAGCGTTTTAAGTAACAAAGAAATAATTAGCGAAGGTGGGAAAAAAGATAAAGTATTTAAAAATGAATGTAAACTTAAAAGAAAAAGACGTTCTCATGCAGAAGCTTTTATACATGATAATTTAGACTATTATAAATTTGAGACTCCCGGGTCTAGATTGCGTTATCAGGGTAGTTTGCCAGACGGAAAATCCGAAGACAAAGATTTCATTTACACATTAAAACAAAAAAAAAAAGAAATAAACGTAAAAAATGATTCTTCTGAAAATTGTCCGTTAAACGTGGAATCAAACGATAAAATAAATAATTGTGAAAAAAAAAGAAATTTTTCCGAACCGTCCGAAGAAGTAAACAAAATTTTATTTTCATTTGAAAGTATTCCTGCTACGGAGCCTTGGTACGAAGTTTATAAAAGGCAAGATGAAGGAATGGAAAATTATTATCCATTGTTAAGTAATCCAAGTGATCAACCTTTTCTACTTCCCTACGAGTTGCCAAAACCTATTTATTCTAAAATACCTTTTGTTAATGATTATTATAAAAAGAAAAGAAAAAAACTTGTTCACTTATTTAATCATCCGCGGAAATCACCCAGGTGTCATGCTAGTACTTTAGCCATTCTTTCAAGTTTGAAAAAGCGTAAAAGAAGAAGTGGAACAAACATATCAATGAACTCTTTGCTATGTGAATCTCTGCCTAATAGTCAAGTCTTGCCTGAAAATAAGTCTGAAGCCAGGTGTTCAGAAACTGAAAACAAATCGGTGGAAAACGAGGAAATTTTAAATTTTTTATACAACGACGAACCTCCTGAAGTGAAAGACAACGAAATTTTTTTAGAACCTCTTAGTGATTCTGAAACTACTCCTTCGAAAGTAAAAGACGATGATGACACGTCGTGTAAAAGTATTAAAAATGAAGAACCGGAAACCGAAACCGTTAAAAATGATTTTTGTAATAAAACATGGACGAAAACAGACCCAACAGATCATTCGGAAAACACAAACAATAAGGATGGTAAATATTTTTGCTGGCAGACAATCACTCCTGACGATTTTTTCAAAGATATGATTATTGAAACCAAAAAAAAATCAGGTTTAACCGATAATGTTTTATCGGTTTTCGGTAATTATAAACTTTGTAAAAGTATGGAGCTTTCAGATGGAAATTTGAATTGCGGTTTAAAAGATCGTTTTGCGACTGTAATACCCGAAAAAATTATACGTCGGAAAAGGAAAAAAGCTAGAAAAATAAATAAGACGGGGTGGGATAATAAAAAATCTCGTAGGCGACCGTGTCTCAAATTAGGAGAAGTGAAAGAATTAGATTGTGGAAAAGTGAATGAAAAATCGGTGAAAACAAAAGTGAAAATCAGAGAAAACGGAATCAATTCCGAAAATATAATACGGGATTCGAAAAGAAGGTCGAGAAGGGACGATGTCGTCGAAAAAAGGAATTCAAATTCCAAAGACAAACCTGTATTAAGATCTCACTTAGAAATTACGGATAATTCGGTCTGTTTACGCAGAAACAATCGAGATGTTGACTCCAAATCGAGCAGCGGCGGTGGTGGAATGGGTTTGACGGATCAGGGACACCCCAACTGCGTTCTGAGGATTAAAAAGGGAACAGATCCCGGAGTGAACGTTCACATGAGACTGAGATGTTCCACAGGGAGACGCGCCATTCAAAAAAGAAGACTTTTGATAAATAAAAAAAAAAAACGTGTTATCGAGTATCCTTGGGGTACGCAAAAAAGGTGACCGTGTAAAAAATAATTATTTTTGCAGGACATGACCTAATAATAATAATAATAATAATAATTGAAGGAAGTAAATGAAATATAAAAAATTAATTTTATTAAAAAAAAAAAAGGGAAAATAAGCCGAATTCGGCATAACGACAAATTCGATTTTTAACATACATTATTAGAGTAATAAATGAGCTTATTGTTTATTGATTTAAATTATTTGAATTGAATTTTAATAATTTTTTCCCCCCCCCTTGTTTAATATAAAAAAAAATTAATTTGCATTTTAATTGTTTACTCAATTTAACATAAATTTGTTTTTTTTTTTTTTTATGTATTTATTTTTTTATTTTTATTTTTTTTTAATGAATCAATAATGGGTTTATTTATTAAGAAAAATTTTATTTTTTTACTTTATCATTTGTACATATATATATATATACCAATAATCATGATAAAAAAAAAAAAATTATTTAGGATATATCAAAAATACCGTTTAACTAATAATAATAATAATAATAATAAATAGCCTTTACACACAGTATTAATGATAATAAAAAAATTTCAATAATATTTTTTTTCATTTTGGGAAAAAGTTTTCACAATTGGTTTTCATATCTACAATTACAAAAAAAAAAAAAAGGATAAACCAGTATTTGTATATAAATTTTTACGGTTTAAGTGTGTGTGTGCGTGTGCGTGTGTCTGTATATTTATTATAAATTCCTGAACCAAAGTATTATTAGTTAAATGTTTTAGATAAGTTTTTCTAAGTGCCGGCATTAATTTAATTAATTTAAATTAAATTCTTGAGAATGTTCCTAAATTAAAAATTTAAATAAGCCAATATTAGATTTAATATTTCTTATATTCACATAAATAAATCTCATTATTATTATTATTATTATTATTATTGAATACAATCGTCAATAACCATAATATTGACTTTTTTTTTTTTTTTTTTTTGAATTTCCCGGGATAAATAAATTATTTACTTTATTATTTATTGCATATTTAAAACTAAAAATTACAAAAAAATCGTTTTAATGTAAAAAAAAAAAATTTTTTTTTAAATTTGGTTATCGCGTTTTGTTATTATTATTATTATTATTTAGATCTGTATAAATATTTATAATTTATTTTTTAAAATTAATTGTTTTTTTGTGAGTTTTTTTAATTTAATAAGTTTTGATATTAAGGTTTTAGAGAAAATTTTAATTTTATTTAATTTATAAATAATTTTAAAGGGTAAAAGGTTTTTTTTTCTTTTTGTTTTCCGTTAGAAAAAAGTATGAGTTGATGTCAATTAATGTGGATTTTAAAAAATTTATTTATTTATTTATCAGTTACAAAAAAAAAAAAAAAAAAAAAAGCAATCAATTTAATAACCGTTATAAGTTCAATATGATGCTATGATATATCCGTTAGGGCTTCTAAACGGCCATTTAATTTCTTATTTATTTTAAATTTTCCATGTTTAAAATTTTTAAATACATGAATCAAACTTTTAATTTAGGTCAATTGGAAATCGGTTTCACTCGAAAAAAGTAAAAAAAAATTTGAAAATGAAATTTTTATAATCCAGATATATTTTTTTTTATATTAATAATATAAATATGTTAATAATTAATTAATGTGAACTTGTAGACAAGAGAGCTAATAATCCTCCAGCAGCACTAACAGACAAAGCATAATTACTATTAAAAAAAATGTTAAAGAAAAATTATTTTAATTCTCCAAAAAAAAATTTGTTAATTTTAATATTTTTAAAAATTTAATATATACATATAACTAAATTTCTCTCAAATTATCTAATTTTATAAATTTAAAACTTTTGTAATAAACATACCTTTAAAATGGTTCAACTACAAAAAAATTATTTTAAAATATTGCAGTTTTAAAATTTACTACATTCTCTGCTGTTAAATAATGTTTACTTTTTTTCTTTATAGTATTATTTTATACTAATAATAGTGATGGTTCTTCTTAATTTTAATAAACACTTTTTACTTATTTAAATATTAAATAAATAAATTTTAAGCATTGTTAATGATAATGAAAATTAACTTTAACAATAACTACTTGTTAGTTCTTCGTAATTAATTCATAAATTTCTATAAAAAGGATACATAGATGGAGAAAATCCTTTGAGCAAATAAAAACTGGAAAATATAACTATTGCAACAAACAATGAATTGTTGTAGAAAATAGAAAAAGTTGTAGCTTCATAATCAGATACTTCATTTTTTTTCCAAAGTATTCTGTAAGTTTTAAAAAATATTTTAATTTTTAACAGGTTAAATCTTTTGAAAAAAAAAAAATTAAAAAAACATCTTTAATTATACCTTTCATCTTTTTCTTTTTTACTCATTTTTTTATCATCAGAAAGTTTTTTGCTCATTTCCCTAGTCACGGCTTCTTCTCTTTTAACTGCAATTTTGTGTTTGAGAACAAATTTTGTATTTTTGTAGGCAAAAGCAACCAAATAAGTACTTCCTGCTGTGACAATTATAAAGAAAAGAAGGGACGGAAGTAATTCAATCATGTGAATTCTCCAAAAAAGCCCTGAAATAAAAATTTTAATACAAAAAAAAAATAAATTTTTGTTATGTAAAAAATATATATATTTTTTTTCTTATTTCATTTTTAAAACTTACAAATTGGTATGGTTGAGACAATGAATGCATTTCCGTAAAAAAGAGCCGATGATTTTGTAGAAACATTTCTACTGAAATCTTGTAAAAGTAATTCTTCTTCTTTTGTAAAAGACTTTTGCTGTTTGCCCGACATTTTAAAAATTTTCTCTTCAAGTGATTAACAACGTACTGATTTACCAAGTCTGTTTACGTGTCTTCCACGACGTTTGAAACCGGAAACTCATGTGTTCCAAATTTTAGGCTCTAAGTTTCACTAGAGACACGTTCACAAACTTAATTTCTCTTTGACATAGAACAAAAGTGAACTTTTAAAATTGTCGTTAAAAGTGATCTTTTCGATTAAACTTATATTATGTTGCATGGAATTAATAATTTTTAATTTAATTTAAAACCACTTAAATTAAAATCGTTTTATTATATTAAAATTATTATATAAATATTAGAAAAGAAATAAAAATTGTTTCATTCTTATTTGCTTGTTGAGTAGTTATTTAAATTATTCTAAAAAAATTATATAATAAATATAAACTAAAAAACTAAAGTTACAAACATTAAATAATAATAATAATAAAGGCTATTTTATATATTATAAACATTTTGTGTTAATTTAATAAGTCATTCATTTGACTCATAAATTTGTGTCAAATGTTAACCAATCAGCATTGATACAGTTATTGAAACGATAAATT